CATAATTATTACCATGTTATTATAGCTGTTTACCGACTGCTCAATATGAGCCAGAAGACATGCTAAATTCTTCACCCACATTATCTAATCTTCAACAGAACTGTAAGGTAGATACTTTCATTATCCTGATTTAATAGCTTGCCATTTTTTCATCAAACCCACTTATTTGCTTATAACACTTACCACAATGTGTAATTATTTTATAATTATTTATTTATATTTTAATATCTGTCTATTGGATTAGAGTATAAGTTCTACAACAGCAAGAATGAGGTCTCTGACTCACCCTGATATTCTCAACTTCTACAATACTGCCTGAAACATAGAAAATGTTCAGTGAATGTATGGTAAATATGAAAGGAAGACTGGAAGGCAGGCAGGCAAGAGGAGAAGAAAGAAAGTGAATGAGCACATTATAGTTGCTAAGTAGTAGGGTTAGACTGTAGTCCAGAGCCATCTGACTCCCAAACCAATGCTCTTGATGATTAGACGAGATTTCTTCCTGTGGTTAATAGGCTTTCAATAGATGTTTGTTGATTAAAAAAACAACTTCTCCTGGGTTCAAGTGATTCTCCTCAACTTTGCACAATAATGTGTAACAAAATTACAGTAAGCATAAAAAACCGTGGGTATACACCCAGACATAGGAGAATTGTAGGAGAGTAAATCATCAGAGAAGGAGAGTTTCTGTCTTAATGAAAGACTACAGTTAAAGAGATGGCACCAACATACTGTTGTCCTTGTTTCAAAGGAAATAATGTGTGTGTATGTGTGATGTGTATGTCTGTGTGTGTGTAGTCTTCAAAATCAAGTAACTTTAACAGTGACTGACAAGTTAATCAGTGATGCATTAACAATACAGATGGCAGAGATTTGATAGTTATAGAAAAATACCAAGTTGAAGTAGATGATCACTTCTAAACCTTTTTATTCTTTTTGGTGCTAATGAGCTTATTCCAAAGCACCATATCTTCAACCAAATTACATAGAAGGCACTTATTCACAATCAGACTACAATCTCCGACCTCTTGAGAACTTGTCACACAGCAGAATAGGAAAACCAGCATGGCAGGACATGTTCTTCAGACTTGGGGTAGGTATTCTGAAGACCACTTGACAACCAGTAGCACTCACCTCCTGAATATCCTTGTCTGCTGCCAGTGATTGTAGGATTCAGGGGAAAATTACTAGATGTCCATTTCTAGTCTGGAAAGTGGATCAGGCCAGAACTTAACTTTTCCACCACTAAGTGATTATTCTAAACAGATGCTTAGCACAACATGTTTTGTTACTGTGGACCTTGAATCCAGATTGCTGCCAGAGGTGATCATCTGGGATTTTCCTTTGAAAACAAAATTTTGCAAGCTTTTATGTATGATTATACCGATATGGGAAAAAGATTATAGCTAATGAGATCAAACTGAATTATTAGTTGGGCATATTTATCCCTGGTTGTAACTAAGTAAATTTCTACAAGTATTCAGTTGTCCTAGAGAAAGAATTGGCTTAGCAATAGTGCCATCTCTTCAAGACAATTTGTCATTTTGAAAAGGTATACAAATCATCAATGAGTGTCATTGTACGGATTGCTTATTATTCCCCAGATCATTGTAAATTCATTTTCTTTATTAATTTAAATATTTCTTGAATACCTACTTTATACTAGACACTAAGCTAAGAAATAAGAAAAGAAAATGCCTAAAATCCAGTCCCTGACCTAAAAGAGGCATGGAGGCCAGCAGAAGGGAGATATGTACACAATAACAATAATCCAAGGCAGTCAATGGTAAATGCTCAGTCCTTCTTGCTTCTTGGAATGCTCTTTTTACCCCAATCTTCCATTCACTACCTGGAAAAAAATCCTGTCCCTCCTTAAAGACTCATTTCAAATGATTCTTTCCCAGTGAAGGCTTCCCTGGCATTCCTTCTCCACCCCACAACCAGAAACACACATACCCAATCCCATTCCAGCAGCTTTCATTACTCCTCTGTGTTCCCATAGCACTCTAGTCATGGTTTTATTACAGTACTTATTATAATAATTTATATTGGATTGTTTATATGTCTGTGTCTCTCACTATGTTTTGAATTCTTCCAGAGCGTAAATGAGTTGTTCATCTCTATATTCCTAGTTACTAGCAAAATAATATTGCATATAGTAAGACTCAAAAAAGTTTAGTTTGCAGGGAATGAGTGAGAGAATGAGCAAACATGTGAAAATCAAATTCTAGATAAAATGTTATGAGAACACTTCAGAGGAAGTAATTAATTCCAATTAGGTGGTTTTGTAGGACACTTTCCTTAGTTCAGCCAAGAGCCAGGTTCTTGTCACACGACCATGAGAGATTAGGCTTGCAGTTACTTTGAAGGGTAAGAAAAAATGGAATTTATTGGGTAAAAAAGGGAAATAGGGACCCTCTGCAAAGCCAGAGTCCTGCTGGTGTGCTTCCTGCCTCACGGATTGAATCCCAGCTTCCACTCAGGAAGACGAGGGACCAGGCTCCTTCCTGCTGCAAACACATGAACTTCCAAGGCCCCACCTTAGTGTGCAGGTCAGTGGGAGGTTCTGCCAGGTAGCCTTTCCCAATGTGACCATGTCAGTTTCATAAACAAGGTAGCATTTGGGGTGACCCTTCAAAAATGAGTGAGATTTTGACAGGTGGAGATGGGTGTTAGGGTAGGGAAGGGAGCTAAGAAGGACATTTAAAGCAAAACTTCTTAAGAATTTAAAAACCACATTCATTGAGGCAAAATAATGCTGTTAATTACACATGTTCCTTATCTGATCCTATAAACAAGCGTAGCAGGAACTCTACTTGCTACCATTTTAGCAAGCACTGTGAATAACCATATGTTTTGAAAATAGCAATGCTGTGTTTTCCTTCAAAATAATTTAGATCATTGTCTTCCCCCAAACACTTATCCCGCCCCAAATTAGTCTTGAGTTTGGCTAGGTTGGTATATTATAAATTCTCATTCTTTGACTTCAAAATCCTTTACTGAGAAGTGGTCCTGTTTGTTTGTTTGTTTGTTTGTTTTAATATTTCTCAGGACTGCAGAACCAATGAGTAGCCAAACTGTTGCAAGAAATTATTTTTGGCATTGGGTCCCAGTCCTTCTAAACCTACCTATTTCTTCTAGGAGTGATTCTTCAGCAACCAGAGAAAATCAGGGTGCAGATTCAATAGTATCTAAAGATATCTTTCAGCTATAACATTCTCTAAAATCTTATCTCCCCTAGCTGGGGGATTGGAAATCCAAGTAGACTAATTATCACTATGTAAATTCAAAACCCAAAGGATATTCAGTACCCCATGTTTGTTTTCTTGATAATATTTGCAAGGAGGCTGTTTCTAGCGATTGGATATGCCTTTGTGAGAGAACACTGAAAGTTGATTATTATGACTAAAATTCCTACAGATGGAGAAATCACTAGCTCTGAAATGTGACTTCTGACTGTAATTAATGAATACTTAGTGCCATCAATCACTGTGTGTATGTGTAGGGGGGATTAAGGGGGAGGAGGCAAAGGCACTACAGAAGAATGACAAAAACTAATATTTCAGAAATAATGTTTTAGACATTTATATTTGCTTGTTCTGACCAATCAGTGACCAAAATAGCACATGTATAAATAACCCTGGCAAGGGTCATCTCTGATGTTGCCTTGGACTTTAGCAAGCTACTATTAGAACAGAGTTGCCTTCATGGGTTGTAATTGGCCAAAGTAGGTACTGAGAGGTAAGAAAAAAGCCATAGAAAGACTTGATCTTTTCTATGGCTATCAGTAGTCAGAGGAAAATTTCCCAAAATGAAAGTCTGTTTGTGCTCGCATGACTCGTGAATATATCTCTCCCGACACTGTGTACATGCACATGCTTATAAAACTCGTTTCAATGTCTTTCCTTATATCATTCCTGCTCCTGGGATGTCTGACCCCTCTCCTGTACCTATCTAATAACTACTAATCACTCATAACATGCTCTATATAAATCCGGTGCATTCTTTTAAGTCCTGTTTTCTCCATGAAGTATTTCCTGCTTACTCGGGCCACAGTAGCTCTGCATACTATAAACTTCAGTAATATTTCTGTTTTAAATCATTGCGTCTTTTGTTGTTTCCTAGTTGTTTAACTGGAGATAGTAAAGCATAGTGGCTAAAAATTATACATTCTGTATGACCTTGGACAATATATTTGAGCTTTCAAAACTTCCCTGAAATGTCTCTAAAACTTCTATTAAATGGAGATATAAATAGTCCCTACCTTACAGGTTTGTTCTGAAAGTTAAATGAGAATGACGCATTCTAAGTGATTTACCTGGCATCCAGTAAGTGTTCAGTAGAGGTAGTAATGGGTGGAGGTGGTGATAATGGTAATAATTATCAACATCAGCAGCAGTCTCTTCAACTTGATTGTACAACCTTTGAGAGCAGGAACCATGTCTCTGGTCTGCTTTTTTTCATTGTTCCCCTAACCCCCAGAATTGTCATTCAGCTAATTTGATGTCTGCTGATTGTGTGTCCAGCTCTATTCAATAGTACTGCCTCAAAGACATGAAATTATATCACGAGTATAATTTTCATCTTTTATTGCCAACTACAGAAGCCCTAGGATGTTTTTTCTTGCTTTATATGCATGAGTAGTTTGGATGGAAGCCGCTGAAGTAATCATATGCTAGTAGATTATGAGAAGAATAGGAAACTTCTTAGTCATTCCAAGCTCCTGTGTTGTGTATGCTTGAAAAAAAAAAAGGGGGAAGAAAGGGAGAGAAGAAAGGAAACACTTATACTAAAATGCCATCTGGTAAATTGCTTTCAAATTCCTTGACTTCCTGCCACTTCAAGCTGTATTGTTTTAACCCTTGTAAGAAACCTGGCATTGAGGCCTTATCCGCCACTTGTCCATCCAGCTATTTCTCTAAAAAGTTTGCCAGAATTTTTTTATAAGTAAACTAGATGCTAGAACCTTAATACAAATTTTGCTTGTCATTTATTTTCAGCTGATAACAGTAGAACTCTGAATGTGGATTCCACTGCAATGACACTACCTATGTCTGATCCAACTGCATGGGCCACAGCAATGAATAATCTTGGAATGGCACCACTGGGAATTGCTGGACAACCAATTTTACCTGGTATGTTATTTTTAATCACCTCACAAGTGCTTATTTTTATTGACCATGTGGTAATAAATATAGCAATATGACACAACTTATTTTGAAGTTGACATTTACCAGATTCTGCCTAGAGTGTGCATTTTTGTAATATGAGCTTTATAGTCTGGGTGGCCGGTAGTTACTAGTATACTCCCTTTTGCACTTTGGACATGCTGGAGGTGTATCCGATGCAGGCTAGGGTCATTGAAGCTTTAAACAGCTCATTGAAATACAAGGCAACAGGATTTTGGCAAGGAATTACAAAGCTTGTATAATTTTATAGATTTTATAGAAGAGGCAAATAAACATGGAGATGAAAAGAGAACTGACTTACATATCTCCAAAATCTTAGATTCCTAGAGGAGAGGAAAGGAGATGGTGGAGGACAGCCCAGAGACTGTTTTTGACATTGAAGAACTGTGTGTAAACACACACACACACACACACACACACACACACACACACATATATATATATATATATATATATATATATATATATATATATATATACACACATACACAAAGTAACCATCATAGAATGGGCATGGTGGACTAACTCCATCTCCACTAAAGATAAAATGAGAAGCAAAACTCACCTGAAGGGTTTTGTTTAGACACAAAAAAGGTTCCTGGACAGTGGGGGCTGATTAATCCTTACAATGAATTTTTGAAGACATTTTGGAATTGCCATCTCAGGGAGCCTGAGGCAGCTTTTTAAACAACCTGAACATTAATCTCCCCAGATTCATTTAACTGTGACTCTACTTAAAAGCACAACAGGACCAGGTCAATCTAGAACCTTCCTACTCAAAGTGTGCCCTGCGTAACCTGGGAACCACTTAGAATCCCAGAATCTCGGGCCCCAGCACAGACCTGCTGAATCAGAACCTGCATTTTCACAAGATCCCCAGGTGCTTTGCAAGCACATTAAAGTTGAGAAATAGGTTTAGAGTAATGCCATTTTGTTGTGCCACTTATTTATATAGTTAGCTACCACTTCCCCCACCAAAACATTATTTCACAATTCCAGCTCAGATTTTAAATCCTTAAAATGAGGTCGAGGTATGCTGGACGGCAACACTAATAGTGAATTAAGAAATGTTATTGCATCAAAAGCCAAGAAACAAGCATAAAAGCAACTAAGCATGAAGATTAAAAGGTACGTGAATAATAAATGGATGGAGGGGAAAAAAGGAGTCTAAATTCTATATGTGGCGGGCGCAAAGAACTCTGCCAAACTATAATTCATATCATAGGTTGTAGTTCACCAGACTGTATTCTTCTCCATTTTCCCAACCACAATTGAAACGAACAACCAGGGATCCTTTGAGACCTAGAATGATTGGACCATGGATCACCTTAGCTTTTGAATGACCAGCAGGGCCAATCTGGGATCAGTGAATGTTACTGTAAGAACCAGTATTGCAGAGTGGTTAAGACGTCAGGTTCTGGATTCAGTCTGCTTGACTTCCAAGCCTGTTTCTTTCACGATTTGATCTCAAGCAGTTGTGTAGCTTCTGAGACTCAGTGCCCTCATCCACAAAATCAGACTAATAGTACCTAACTCCTAGGATTGTTGTGACAATTAAATCCTGCTTACCACAATGTCTGGCAATAGAAGGAGCTCAAAAATGGCAGCTTATTAATATATTTCTCATAGACATTTCTAAAAAAGTAATGAGTTTATTTAGTACCTCTTTATTATTTGATTATAATAGAATTTAAACTAAAATCTATATTATTTTATAGCTCCATGTGGTATGTCCCAAAGTCACAACACTTAAAGTCTAAGATGAGTAGACAATCTAATTTGACTTAGATATTCCCAGTTTTTGACAGTCTGGACCATATGCATAAATGTCCCAGGAAAAATATTGAGGCCACATGTGCTCTAAAGCCCAGGAGACTAAATGTTAACTAATAGCATATGATTTGTAAATTATCATATATAAGCATAAATCTAAGTTCACAAAGTAATCTTCAATACTTAGCCACCCATCTGTAATATGGAAAAAGAAAGACCGAGTATTGAGAACAAAAATGCCTCCAAGCAATTATTACAGACCCAAAGCTTGAACTAGGGTCAATAATAAGGCTAGATGATTAGGGTAAGTTTTCTTAACAGTGTGGTAGAGGGCTATTTCTTCAGAGATAGTGTCTTGCTTAGTACTTAACGACACAGGCCTTGAAGTCAGAGGACTACCTGGATTTGAGTACTTGCTCTGCCACTTATTGTGTTATCTCAAGCAAGTTACTTGACCTCTCTGTTCCTCAGTTTTCCCATCTGTAAAATAGCGATAATGATAGTGTCCTAGCTCATAGCATTGCTGTGGGCATTAAATAATATATTAGCACACTGCTTACCATATAATAAGCACCCAATAAAGATAAACTGGCATCATCATTACTACTCTTAGCAGTACTATATGCTCTTTGATGTAAAGGAGGATACATTCTTCAAATCACTGCAAAGCTCCCTCTTAAATTGAAAGTATTTGGACGCTATGCAGCCACTGTCAATGCTAATGAGTGTTCTGCACGTCCAGCTTCGGCCAGACATTTGAAACCTCAAGAGTATTTTTAACTTCTACCTTTGTCCCCCTTCTTCACATCTTGTTTTCTTAAGGACTGTAAAGAAATGGTTTCTCTTTGACCTGTAATTCAGTGAAACTGACTGCCACCATGCTCCAGGGAAAGTTACTTGACTCTTTGGAAACCTGGTCTTAGAAATGCTGGTATTAGTTGAGTAGGTCCCTTCTTGTCTTAAAATGAATGGAGCAATAACATGAGGCCAAGATATACTTTCTAAAGCTATGTATAAAATCACTTAACTTATGTGTGAACTGGTTTTTCTCATCTCTGTATTATTTTAGGAAGGTAGTTTACCATTGAGATTTGAACATGGGTTCTAGATTCAGACTGCCTATGGTCAAAGCTCTATCTGTCATTAACTAGCTGTGTGACCTTTGGCAAGTTACCTCACCTCCCTCCCTATGCCTCAGCTTATTCATCTGTAAAATGCAGATAAGAATGGCACCTATGTTATAGGGATGTTATGAGGATTCATGCATTAATACAGGTAAAGTCTTAGAATGATGCCTGGCTCACTGTAATTCCTCAATTAAGTCAGCTATTATTATTATTGTTTTAAGTTCACATATGTGATATGGCTCACAAAAAGTTGAATGATGACTCGTCTTTACCCTAATAACAGTGAAGGATAGTGAATGCAACGGTGAATTTTTTCCCTGGTGAAGCACTGGACAGTGACAGGTGAAGAGACCAGTATATATCTGACAGTGCTGATGCCTGCTCCTTATAAATCTGGTGGGGATTTTCACAGAAATGGGAGGTTAGTATGACACTCCAATGCTGCCTATGTTTCTTCTTGCCAAAGTCTGGAGGACAGAGTGCTTGCCATCTTTAATGATGTTATGTTTTAACCAATGTGTTAAAATATCTTCCTAAAAGCCAGACGCGGTGGCTCAGACCTGTAATCCCAGCACTTTGGGAGGCCGAAGTGGGCAGATCACAAGGTCAAGAGTTCGAGACCAGCCTGGCCCACATAGTGAAACCCCATCTCTTCTAAAAATACAAAACTTAGCCAGGTGTAGTGGTGGGTGCCTGTAATCCCAGCCACTCAGGAGGCTGAGGCAGGAGAATCTCTTCAACCCGGGAGGCGGAGGTTACAGTGAGCCATGATTGTGCCATTGCACTCCAGCCTGTATACAAAGCTAGACTCCATCTCAGAAATAATAATAATAATAAACCACATTTCCCTAATCAACTCCCCATGCCCCAAAATTTCTTAAAATGGAAAAGGTGGCAAATAAGCCTCATGGAACTGTTGCCTGAAGTCACCCATCAAAGGCTCAGTAATTCAGCTACTTTTATGCCCCTCAGGAGGTTTCCTACTGAGCCAGCAGACTTTTCTTTGTCCTGTCTCATCTGGCCTGTCTGTGACAATAGGAAAGTCTTTTGACATTGATGAAAACCAAGTGATACGTAAGCTTCCTTCACTTCCCCCCAGAGACCTCTAATCTATACTGTTATGGATGTTGAGTGTCTTGGACATAGACTTGTCATGAAGGCAGTGTCTGGCATAATTATTATATTCATTGAGTAGGGAGTAGAGACAGGCTATGTATGAAGTTTGTTGTGGAGTTCCCTTTCAACTAACATGGTATTTTGTACAGCTGTGGTTCAATAAAGTTAATCCATAATGATGGCAGATCAGGAGGTCCCCTCTGGCTGGCAGCTGTCATTCCTGCATGAGTATTTGCTGTGAGAAGCTGGTCAATAAGATTAATGCTGGTGGAACCCAAAAGGGTCAGGCCTTCTGGTTAAAGAACATTGTTCTGCCCCAGTCATTCCAGACGAATCCAAGGATGGACCCATTAAGAGATACTTGTTGATAACTGCCTGCTGCTTCCTTTATTTTCGCCTCAATTAAAATATCCATAGAAGCCAAGTGTGAAGCCTGTGAAGTCCAAAAAGAGAAGAGTCTCTCATTATGATGTCTCTGCTGTGTTGACTGTCTCCATAATGAGAGATATTTGAAAATATAGAATCATGGACCTTATTCCCAGAGCAAAGCCCTACTCATTAAGGAGGCAGTTCTCACTGGGCCCAACAGGCCAAATCTGATGGGAACAGAAAGAAAGAAGGAGTTTGTATGACACGTGGCAGACTACTGTTCTGCAAGCTCCTCGGGAAGTCCTGGCCTTCGGTTTGTATTATTTTTAATATCTTCCACAAATAGAGTATGCTTTTAGTGGCAAAAAGGTTGAGATCCTGAGAAAGTAGAGCGCTGTTCATCATCCAACAGCCAACAATATGTAAACATTATATATACCAGATAAAATTAATGTCTCTCCAAAGCAAACTTGAATTCTACCTATGGATGGTACTCTCAAGATTCACCATGGAGCATGTCTACACCTCGAGATATCCATTTAAGTCTCCACCATGCCATCA